GCAGCCCACCTGGAGGTGTCAAAGAGGCGGGCAACTCAAGACTAGGTTCGACACCGTTCGTCAAGAAACGGAAGCGGTTCTTCGACCTTCGGTTTTCGGCCTCTGTCTCCAGAAAAGAGAATGGGTGGAGCTTACCAGATCCGCTGCCACTAATCGTCCCGCGTGGAGAGGTACCGTCCATGACGTCATTGAGACCAGCTTGATCAGGTATGATCACAATCGTATAAAGTACAAGTAAGTAAGTACTTGCACGTGGGTGCCAGCGGCCCCTGGGTTTTCGACCAGTCAAAACTATACAAACCACCCGATTAACTTAAAGGCTAACATAGACATGTCCTCACTGAAGATGCTCTGACGTCTGTTCCGGCAGCGCCTCTCATGCGACTAAGAATACCCACCGATCGATTGCCCATTCATTCTGTACGAATACAATTATCTCACTCTCTGTCTCCACTAACATTTGGCTTTTCCTCTTCCTATTGGAGACCCGAATTAAAGGTCGTAGTGGCTAGGGCCTGAACATGGTTTTAGCTGCCACAACACATACTCTCTCCCCCCTCGCCCATCAGGCTCCAAAAGAAGGACGAAAGAATGTCAAGACGATGGAATTGGGTTCGGCACAGTGGCTGTCAGCACCAAATTGCTCGCCTACGCTTGCCACACATGATCTACTCCCCATACATGAGAGCGCTATAGATAGCTTATCAAGGAGGAGTCGGCATTGAAGTCTGACTCTCAATCCTCCAGTCACTTCTACCTATTTCCACAGTGACCGAATTATCTTGTCAGTTGGTAGTCGTCGGAGTGAAGACTAGAAGCGCGCCTGGAGAGATTCAGGCGCATCAGATGTATTAGGATGAGCTACGCACAGACTTGCCGTGAGGATGAGTTCCATCGTGTCCATCTCAAATGCTCCAGTCGACTGTTCGACTCTGTTGAATAATTGGTGCCGAGTTTGGGCACATTGCCAGACAGAGCCAACCCAAAACGGTTGCTTTTAAAATGCCTCAGAACTTAATTTCTTACTTGGAGTAAATCAGTTTACACTGCGGTCTACAGGCGCAGACAAAAGTAAAAATTGATTTACGTTAAGGGGGAGATTAACTGCGGAGGGAACTAAAAAGTAAAATTTGCCAAACTGGAAAGCGCACAGGGAATACGGGGAACCCACTGATGAGGCGAACTCATCGCAGCTGTGCCATGCAGTGGCAGAAGAACGCGTGTCCGAGCTCTTAACCAGTACGCGTGCTGTCATTATGGTATGCCGTGCAATCCAATATGTTGCAACAGAGCTACAAGTCTCGAGAACGGCTACTTGAACCGGTGTGGAAAGCGCTTCCAAAAGTTAGAGTCCAAAGCCCCTTTAGAGGATACCGTGAGAGTGGTTGGAACTGAGATGTTGGTAGGGCAGAACATCGTAACAGGAGCCGCCCGTTATGCATACGGCTTTGGGCTGAATTCCAGGGAACTTACGGTTAGAGAGAAGGTTAGAGTTGGGTAGATCGAGATTGCTGGCCACTTCTGGCTTATTAGCCGTCATTAATCAATCATACCCGGTCCCAGGCGGTGCGATACTCGAGGTTCGATCCTTCGAGCTGTTGATTAGAAGTATAACTCCTTAGCCATTGAGCCACGGGCCGGTTTGGATCGGAAATATTGACAGTGGCGGATGAATGTCGGTGAGAGTTCATGCGCTAAATTACTCATTGTTGAACATACTACAATGTTAATTAGTTTGTAATATTTGAAAGAAGGTAACATGGGCGTGGGAATATGGACCCTCAGATTATTCCTCCACTGAATGTCAGGAGTTTTACGGTTCGGGTTAGTCTTAATATTGGGGTAAAGATAAGGACGGTAAAAACTAAATTTAGCGCTATATTTACGAGGTGTAGTGCTGGGGTTAGGGTTAGACAACTTGGTAGGATACGGGAATGGGAATCGTCCCGTTATACCGGTAAATTCAGAGAGGATGAAATTAGGGTTACGGATGAGGTGAATTTTAGGATTAAGGTTGGGTTAGGGATGGGTAGAAGAACATTGCTGAAAAGGACGAGGGAGACTGGAATGGCTATCTCTAGCTTATTAATTGTCATCAAACAGTTATACCCAACCGCAGGTGGTGCACCACTCGAGGCTCGAACCCGCGACCTTATGACCAGAAGTCTAAGGCCTTAACCAACGCCTGTCCGTCAGTTAGGGTCAGGGTAACGGCTATGCTCAGGGGTAAAGTAAGGTTAGAGTAAATGTTAACGCTAAATACTTAGCGCCTTCGCCAGTTATTCAGGGGTGGCAGCGGATGAGTGCAAGCCAGCGTTTCCACGAGGTGGGTTTAAAATATACCAATAGTAGAGATTCCTTAGAAAAGGACTCACTGCTTCCAGTTTCTTCTTTTGCACCAGTAAACCGTGATACCAACCACCAAGAGGAGGAAAAAGAGGACGCAGACAGTTATCGTGGCAATCACGGTCCTATTGTCCTAAATACAAAAAAATAGGAGTTTCAGAGCGGCGGTCTGACGTTCTGCAGAAAGCGGTAAACAGTTAAAATTAGTAATAGAAAGTTATTGTAGACAACAAATACTATGATTGCAATGTAAGCTATAGGAAATAGGAGAATTTGAAAGGCACACAGTTTTTCCCAGCAAGTCATGTCGACCTACCAGCCTCCAGGCTTTGTGCCGAGTAGTATATCGCCAGGGCATATGCCTGATAGCTGGGAGCTTGCAGTCAGTTGGTACTGACGTCTTCAAGGACGTTGAAATGGACAAGCGAGCATTAGAAAATAAAGCAAACGAGCAAGGGTCCCCCTATTATCCCTTTGCTTGTTTTAATGAATTATATACAGGGTGTCCCAGAAGTAACTGACCCTTTTGATTTGCTAATAAA